ACTTATGGAGGTGGTTCCTTGGATTGGGCCATGCTAATGAAATCTGTAATCGGTGGAATTACAGAGGTCAAAAAACAAGACGTCAACTATGATGTAGCTCAAAATTCAGTTCAACTTCAATCTGTTATGCAGGTAGAGATGTTAATCGATTAATTTTTCATAATCAATAATCAAAATCGAAATAATCGATTTTTACATTGCAAATAGTAGTAGTAATAGCTTTATTTGTTTTATGCCTATGAGTTAACAACTTTTACATATTACAGTATTAATAAACTGAAAGAATCTAGGTCGCATGTCCAAAACACGATCGGATGTTATTTCAATAAATTCTGTTTTATTTACAACATAAATTTTAAATTTTTATTTTTTATTATTCTTTGATGGGTAAAAAATTATCAACAAATTTTTTGTTCCGTTTCAAAAAAAGAATATGGTCAACAAACTGTGAGCTAAGTCTATTTTCGCAGCAAAGTAATTTGTTGTCCTGCATCAGAGAAAAGTCCTTCCGAAGGAACTGATGAAAAAGGAATTGCCAAATATTTTTTGGCTAAAATAGCAAGTATTGGTCAATTTTTTTTCATTATCACACCACCATTTTAATGGTTCATTTTCTTCAACAGGAAGTACTTGGGGTATGTTTTTATATGATTCAAATTCATCTCTGTCTAATTCGGCTATTTCTCTAGTTGAGATTTCTAAATTAAAATTGTTTCACATATTAATATACTACTACTACTACTACTACTACTATTGTTGTTGTTGTTTATTATTACTACTATTGTTGTTGTTATTATTAGCACTGCTATTATTACGCTTATAATGATTAGAATGAAATATGTATATTAATTTGTATATTATGTATGAATTTGTTCGTTAGGTTATGGCATTTAATTTTTAAAACCAGACTTCTAAATTAAAATTGCTCCAAATATTACTATACATTATTATAATTACTATTATATTATTATTGTTATTACCATTACTACTGTTAATTTATTTAACACTTGATTTTTTTTCGATTTTTTCGATTAAATCGATTATAAAATTTTGTCGATCACTTTTAATCGATTGTGGGGGACACAATCGATTTTATAATCGATTTTTGTATAATCGATTAACATCCCTATCATCAATAATAACATTTGTCATCACTATGAAAGATGAATTTCATTTTACATATTTAAAAAAACAGAGAAGACAACAAATGAGAACATCATAAAACTGACCATGATGATTAAATTCTAATCCCAAGTCTTTGATAATACCAATGTTCACTTTGTCTGGTTTTGTTGCAGCATGCCCCATATATGGTGGGATAAAAATAAGTCAAATAACTTATTTTATATATTAGTATAATTTGACATGGTTAACAATCGAGGGATTTTAAATAAATAAATTAGCAGTAATGTCTTGTGCAATTTGGAAAATATCAGTCTGTTCAGCCTCCCTGCTGCTGATGTAATAGTAGTTGGAGGACTGGTTGATACTCTTGCAGCAATTTAAATAAATGTTATGGTATCATAAAATGAAGATAATGTTTATAAATTTCCTTTAATTTCCTTTAGTGATATATGATCCACAATAATCATCATACCAAATATGTTCAGATATTAGAATTTCCAAGGATGAAATTAATGTTGCTCATAAATCAATCAATTTGGCATTTTAAAGAAAAGGATTGATTGAATGCATTGACTAAATTGGATTAGATTTTGATAAAAAGGTTTCAAGGGTGGATTCCAATGAAAGGTGTGATGATGATTCATGTAACATAATATACATTTTTATATTTATTCATCAAGAAACTTATAATAATAATAATGATGATGATGATGATGATGATAATAATAATAATAATAAATTTATAAATATTCTAGCTTTTTTTTTGTTTTTGATCCTCAGTTGTTGACTTATAATTGCCAGCAGCAAGACATAAATTTCTTCTTGTAAATTTAATTTCATAAACTGGTGTATTTTTAGAATATAGTGTAGTTAATAAATCCCTATAATAAAATATTAAATATTATTAATCTTGAGATTCATTCCACAATTATTATATATAAATATAAAAAGATGCTTGTTATTATTATTACCTTGATGGTTTTACATTGGTTGCTTTAGATTTTCTATTCAGTAAAGAGATATCCTCAGCATTATTTTTTGGTTTGCTTGCTGTTGTTGGTGATGATAATGAATGATCACCATCAACAGAATCACCTGAAATACCTTTTTGAACATCCCAGATACGAACAGTTTTATCTGCACTACCAGAAACTAAAATACTACCTTCCTTACTAAAATCTAAAGAATAAACAGTTTCTGTATGACCAATTAATTTTTTAAAACATTTCCCACTTGCAATATCCCATAAAATTACTGATTTATCATCACCTATATTCAAATAATTGGTAAGATTGATTTATTGATTTGATTTAGTTTTATTACTGATAATTGAATAGATTATTTATTATGTTACCAGAAGAAGCTAACAGTTGACCATCATCAGATACAGCTAAACATGTAATTCCTCCAGTATGGCCAGAAAAAATTCTAATACAAGATCCACTACTAATGTCCCACATACGAATTGATTTATCATTAGATCCTGTGAAGATGTATTTTGAATTTGGATGAAATCTAACAGTCTTTCAAAATAAAAAAAAATATAATTAATAAAACTTTTCAAGAATATTATTATCAATATCATCATTGTCATTATTATTATTATTATTTTCTCTATTTACATCTACATCTGATATATGTCCAGCAAAAATCCTTAAAGCATAAATATGATCACAACTCCAAAGTCTAGCAGTTCTATCATTAGATGCAGTAACAAAGTAAAATCCAAAAGGACTAAACTGTATATCCCAAATAGGTAAGTTATGACCTCTATAACACACAAGATTTGTATAAAGATCTGTACTCCAAAGTCGAGCTTCATCAACATTTAATGATTATAAATAAGTATTCTTTTTGATTGATTGAAAAAATTGCTCATTATTATATATTCAAAATAATTTACCTGTGCTATCTTCTGAACAACTAAGTAAATGTTTGTTATCTGGACTAAAACTTAATCCAAATATAGGACCAGAATGCCCACAAAGTTTCTTACAATCACCTCCTTTAACATTTCCAAGATCATCTGCTTTATTATTATAAAAATGAATATTACCAGTTATAAAATAAATCCACATATTTAATAGTTTTAAAAATCGATCTAATTGATTGATTGATTGATTGATTGATTAAATACTTGAGTTATTTATTCCAGATGCATTAACATGATCTTGAAGTACTCTTGATTTTTCGCTTTTTAAACTCCATATATTGATATAAGACTCTGAAAAACCTCCAGCTATAAGAGTTGCATCGTCAGATATGGACAAACAATTAAGACTAATTGAAAAAAAAAATTTTTAAAGTTTAAATATCTTGGAAGAGAATTTTCATGCATAGAAAAATGCTTTAACAAAACATTATTCATTAATTCATACCTATTGCATGTATTATAAAATGTATAAAAACATACAGAAGGAAGACTTGCAGGTCCTAAATTTATTCGTTGTGTCAAATCTTTCACAAGGTCAACTTGTGCTTGTAGATCAGCTCCATTGCTGAATGTCTTCGTGTCAGAATATTATTTATATATAAGGTGATGATAAATTTCATGCAATCAAATTATTTAAAACATACTATGATGGTAAAGGAACCAATGATATAGGTGGTGAATCAATAGTTTGCTCTCTTTTAATTTTTTTATTCAAAGATTCTTGATGTAGTGAAGGTGTAGAGTTTATAATACCATTCATCTGATTAGTAATATGGAACAGGAGACATATAAAGTTATATATACAATTATATAATGTACCTTCTTATTACTATACTATTACTATTACATTATTGTTCATACCTCATTTCCAATTTGAGCTCTTGAATGTTCATTTTCTCCCTTTAATCTTTTTTCAACTTCGTCACGAAATTCTGGTTCCATTGGCATGAATCCTGATTGAAGTTCCAGTTCTAATTCTTGTGATGAAGTTCCAATGTCTGTATATGATGAGCCGACATCTTCTTCCGTTACTGAAATAAATAAATAAAAAAAATATTTTTTACATATTTGCCTCTTAAAATCAGCGATTGATTAACCAATCAATCAATTACCTTCAACATTAATGTATTGATTTACCATTGTTAATAACAAAGTATTATTGTCTTGTAAGAAACGAATTAATATCTCATATGAAGTTCTAGACATTGAAACAGTATATTTCTTTGAACGAAAGTTTTGAACAAATTCATCTTCTTGAATATGTTGTGGTTGTGTTATAAATTTCATCTTGTTTATTTCATTCAAATGTATTTCATGATCCAGTTGATAAATATTGAAAAATTCCGTTGCTAATATGTATTCAATCGATTAAAAAGGTATGCTTGTGCTGGAAAATATAATATATTCAAAAACAAAAATATTTGCAATCAGTTTGATGGACAAACCTTGATTTAAAAAACCTTTTGAAACAAGATCAAGATAAAAATTTACAAATAGGGGCCAAAGGACTCTTTGTCGTTCATCCTAACAGGAACAAATAAAAAGTTGTATATAAATGTATATGTATCTATTAGCCTGTGGCATTTTAAATAAATAAATAATACTCTAAAAAAACCTTGAATTTACTCTCAGAATTTTCAATGAAAATTCTTAATTTTTTATATTGTTCTTTATAAGTGTCTGGATTGGTGGTTACAGAACCAGGAAAAGTTCTAATATGGTTTACTTGCATCATTTTTAAGAACTTTAAATAGAACTTTAAGTAATGTACGAATCGCGTGTTGATATTAAAAGTGTCGGATTTTTATTAATAATAATAATTAACATAGTAATAGTGTGCATATTATCATTGGTCAATTTTCTTTTATTTGGATAAATTATTTACAATATTAAACAAGTACAATGTTTATTGAATAAAATTACATCCAATGCGTTTTTCTTCCTAATCACTCTTATTACTATTAAGAGGAGGGTCAGTTTCAGCGTTGACAACACTTTTAGCAACTTTTTTTGTTTTGTTAATGCCATGATCAATACCATCTTCATATGACAAAAGAACTGGTCTAAAGAATTTACTATAAAGAACTTGAGCTCCTTTGAAACCTGGAAGGAAAAGCCTGCGTATAATGAAGAGTGTATAAGATAAATATGAGAATGTGGATATGGAAGAAAAAATCAATTATAAAATTAAAAAATTTATTTACCAGAGGAAAAAAATTGTTTTGAAAAAGAAATAGAAAGGAACCCAGTGGAGAATGAGATCAGAAAAGAATTCAATCATATTAACAAATCCAAATACACTCCTAAGCGAACGATATAATTAAAAAAAAAAAGAAAGTTTAGTAAAATTTCTTACCAAGTATTTATATTTCTTATAGTGTATATATATAATATGTGTAACTTACCAATAAGTTAACCATTGAGTATCGTCGGTTTTCTCTGCACTTTCAACGGCTTTGAAAGAAGCATAAGCTATGACCAAGAGAAGAAGAAAAAAAGCTTTTTGAATAAAGTTTTTAAAATTTGAGAAGTTAAAGGAACAAATAATAATTAATTACCAGGATAAAGCCATCCGATGAGGTTAGAGAGTAATTCCCCCCAAAAATTGAAAAATATCAAAATAGATACAATGCTTAAAACGCCAGCTGCAAGGTAAGTTTTTGGAACTCCAGTTGTTTGTTCCAACTTATTTACTTGTGGATATTTTGCTAATTCTTTGTCGGCTAGGGAATTATAATATCTGAATTTTTCTTTGAAATGATCCATTTTTTTTATTCGTTTTTTTTTAAAAATAAGGTAAAAATGAATTGTTAGAAAACAAGATGATGGTATTTTTTTCCCAAAGTTAAAATATGCAAATCATTGATCTTTATGACTTGGTGACACATTTAAATAATTAATACGAATCGGGGAGAGCATGAGATAAATCTTGAAATAGATATATTACAAACTAGTTGGTTAGCTCGGTAGAAACTTGTCATTAATCCATTGGTTTAATATATTTAACGTACAAACAATAATTTTTTCTTGATATTTGTTTCAACAACAATAATAATAATAAATTCATTATTATAGATAAATTGAGTAAATTCTGAATTATGAAAACCTTTTTTGCCTTTTATTTAATATTAATTAAATTAATTTTTTCGTTATAAATCAGGATATGTACGATAATATCAATCAAGATAAAGGTAACGAAAAAAGATTAATTATCAAATGATGTCTTGCCTTATCACACTAATTAATATTAAAATAATAATGTTATTGGTGTTATGGTAAAAGCGCAGAATTTTGAATTATAATCATCAGTTACCCAGATATTTTCCCTGGTTCATTGTCATTCATCACCACCATTACTACTACTTTTTTAATAATTAATTTCCGCTTTTTACTCTTTGTTGAATTACTATGTAATTACAAACTATCAAAAAAACGGACAAGAGTTTTAAAAAAAGTAGTATTATTAATTGAAATAAGAAAATCCCTACTAAAAAAAATGTTCAATTTAAATACAATCTGGTTCAGTTATAACAATAGGTGTATTAATTACATTTTCTACCCCTCCTCCTCCCCCTCTTCTTCTTCTTGTCGTTGTTGTTGATGTGAACATGACTGTGACTGTTGCGGATATTCGGTTGTTTCAACTTCAATTTGTGATGGATCTGATGTCTCTATTGTGGTCACAACAGGTGACACGTCTGTTTCAACAAATGAATTAGTTATACTATCTCCATCTTCATTCCTTATTACTACCGTTATTACTTTAATAGTTATTGTTGTAATTTGTTTACTAGTACTACAGCCTGGTTCTGAACATATAGTGCATGGAGCAAATTTTATTGTAGTATTCTCGCCAGATCTTGAGGCTCCCTCTTCTTCTTCTTCTTCTTCTTCTTCTTGATGGTGGTGGTGATGGTTTGAAGCTTCTGTGGTGGTGTTCATGTAGTTCGACGATGAATTCTCTTCTAAATTATTGTCTTTATTAGTATGGTTGTTGGTAGTATTATTGTTATTATCGGAAGAAGGAATAGAAGACAAATCCACCATATTTTAAAGTTTTTTGTTTGTTTTTTACTAAAAATTTGATAGATTAATCAAAATCTTTGCCATAAATGAAATGGATCTGCAACACACTCACGTGGCAACAGATTTTCGTTCTAAGCAACATAGTACAGATGTAAAAGATAAAAAGATATTATTAAAATAATATAAATATATTAATAGTATGGTCATGAAACTATAATCACTGTTTTTAAACATGTTTTGATCCATATTCAAAAGAAAAAAAGATTATTGGTTAATCAGAATTAAGGTTGGAGAAACCAGAATATAGCCCGATAAAATGTCTCGCCTAGCAAACGTCGACAACAAGTGACAAACACTTGGCGAATTTTGAGAAAAGTTCTTCTTTGAGATTTGCTAAAGAGAACGGCAAGATATTATTATATAAATAGCAGTTCTGCTGCAGATCGCGTGAAAACATTGAACGTAGTATAGTCATGAAAGGGAAATAAGTGGATTTTGAAAAAAATCTGTCCAACTTCCTTAATAACAAGAGCAGAAACCTTTTATCTTTCATATAGTTGTTAAAAATCAGATATTGAATAATTGTTGGTAAGAATAATAATTACATACACACATATATGTTTCTGGCAGTTGGACGTTTGTTTGGGTTAGCATCTATATAAAGTTGGAATATTATTTGAAAATCTGGTCTTCACTTTTTTGCTTTACTATTACTATATAGCTTACTGTTCGAATGGAACGTCCAGGTTCGAACCATATGAACTATCAAATATTTGTTGCTTTTTAGTAGAAATTTTCGGTGTAAAGCTGTTGTCCATTTTGTAAGATCTTTTTCCCAAAGATATTTTTTAGATATATTGTGCATGATGCGCACTGCCGATTTTTTTTTATTTTAAAAAAAAAATTTAATATTATTAAAAAAAACAAAACAGATTTTAATCACTAACATTTAGTCACTGATTCAGATGTATATACATCACTATCATTATTTTCACTTCACTAACATCATCTTCATTTTCATCATCTTCTTGTTCCTCATTATCATTGCCAGTATCATTAGTGTTTCTATTGACATTATCTTTTAATTTATTTTGATTTTTTTGGATTTTTGTAATTATAATTAAAATAAATAAACACTAATTAGAAAACCATACCAGATGTTAGTCTATTTCTTTTTTTATCATGTATATATGAGAATGCAGACCAATTTCTTTCAGGTGCTGCTGAAGATGTAGGATTGAAAGAATTTGTACAGCAAGATTAGTCAGTTCAGGGTCAACTAATGAAAAATTCCCTTTCCACCATGTTACCAAATCTGCTTCATCTATAGTTGACCATGCTAAAGAATTGTCAAAAAATTTAAAATTTTTTTTGCGTTACATTTATTACTATATACAAAAAAATTACATGCGCATGATTTCAAAAATTACGTGCGCATTGGAACATCTCTAATAAATCATAATAAAAAATTAATTAATATAAAAATTAAAAAAATTAACCAATTTATTGATCAAAAAGTTTATAATTTTCTCTCAAAAACAGTATATTATGAAAATTACTTTGGTTGAATCCATTTCTTTTTTTTTGTGAAGATGTTACCAGCTGAGGAAAACAACCTCTCAGATGGGACTGAGGTTGCTGGTATAGCTGAATAAACCCTAGCTTGAACTGCTAGATTTGATAGAACTACTTTTTTCTGATTCCACCAAAGGAGTGGATTTCTTCTAATGGTACCTTTTGCAATGTCAAGTAAAATTCAACTTCAGAATTTATATTTTTGGAAATGTTAGTATCATCTAATATTACTTGCCTTAGTTCTGTCTGCGTTTCAAGCACAAAATTTTGAGAATCAATCATAAATCCTGTCGCTCCTAGCGCAAAGAATGATAATAAAAATTTATTTAATAAAATTATTGATTGTTTAATATTGAAAAAGAATCATCTTCGAAAAATAATGATAAAGCTGATTTTAAGGAACCAGAATTCTCTTCTATATCATTTAAATTACACTGATTATTATACGAATGAATGAATATTTTTTATTATTTTTGAGAATATAATTTGATTGGCTCAAGCCTGCTAAGCCGTTTAAAAATTTCTTAGCCGGCTGAGCCGTGTAAGCCGGCTAACATCACTATTAGTGGGCCGAAGTTGCCGAAATTAATTGGCCAAAACTTTGACGAAACTAATTTTAATGGCTGAAATTGGGAGTTTTTTAAAACAAAAGTCGATTGATTTAGATTCTTATTGTATGTATTGGACGAAACTGCCCTTTTTTCAAAAACAGTTTCGGCTACCATCACTAAATAATATCCTTTATCAATTAAAAATTTAAAATATACACAATCTTGATTTAGCAGATAGTTTGGGCGATTAAGAAATTATTTCCCAAAAATTCGTTATGATTATATTCAAACCTTGTCATAGCGGACTATAATAATAATTAATATTAAATTCTTATCATAACGGATTTTTAAAATTTTTGCTTCACATATAAAACATATCAAAATTTTCTTATTGTTATGTGTCCCATCTATCTGTTGTGACTATATCAAGACATCCGTTATATTGAGAGGAATTTTATTATTATTATTATTATTATTATTATTATTATTAAATCTCAATCTGCTAATATCCATTAAATCGAGGTACACTACATTGTAATTCACTGTATTTAATATGACATTAAGAAAAATTTAGGAATCCAGTTTGATTCGAATTGATTCGAATCGAGTCACGAATCGAGTCACGAATCGAATCAAATCAAATCATTCTAAAATTCGATTCGATTCGATTTGTTCGGAGCCTTAAATATATTTAAAATAACGAGAAAAAAATTCCTATAATAGATTCACAATAGTGTTACTATTCTATTACTATTGCACAATAATTATATAATAATAAAAGAATTAATTTAATTTAATACATTTCCTATTTTTCTTTTTCACCGAGAAACATGGCTAGTCTGACTTCAAAATGAGCAACCACCACCATTAAAAAACAAAAACTTGGAAAATTTAAACACTAATATTAATAAGTTTGCCAGTTTAGGAGTTTTGTCCACAGTTTAGGATTTTGCCTAAATGCCTAAACTATGGGTTAGTTTCAGCCATCTACTATGTTCATGAGGAATTTGAGCCCTAGAATCATTGCTAAATTTAGACTAGTTTTCGAGTACCATTATTAAATTTAGACTAATACTCGACCATCAGTAAGAAAAATAATTTGGATCTGGGGCACTTTACCGACAAGCATTGTGTTAACAATTTGCCAAGGACTGTGTGAAGTCCTGGATAACTCTATGTAGAAGCTAAAAGTTTGGTTTTTTACAGACAAGTTAAATCAACTGTTGATCGAGTACTGACCTTGCCCCACAAATCATTAACTAATAACACAACTTATTATCCTTAATTTGCATCAAAGACCAGTTCATAAAAATACAATATAGATACATGTGTAATTTTTTTTTTGTCTGACGAAAATTGATAAAAATTGCATATTCTGACTTCATGTTATTTTATTAAATTTAGAGAATTGTTATTCGCACCCCTCCCGTGACTAAGTGTAGTAAGCGACCAATGAATGGCTTTAAAATGTGATGATTTTATTGGTTCATCTTTGTCTTAGTCACGGGAGGGGTGCGAATAACAAAAATGGGGGTGAGAATAACAATCCCCTAAATTTATTTATAATTGATTCATTATAATTGTGATGAATTTATTTCTAATTTTTAGATAAAT